TGTGAAGTACAAAGATTTAACATTATACGCCATTTTATTGTACCATCAACAAGTGTCAAACGCGCAAAGTGATTTGATTGAAAAGTGTTTGCATAGTATTGTGTTGCTGTGTTTAATATGACGAAATTTATATCAAATAAGGAGCATTCGCGGACAGCATTAATTTTTTGTTTTCATTTGAAGAAAATTGCTGCGGAATCATACCGATTACTTGGAGAAGCTTATGGTGAACATGCTCCATCGCAAAAAACGTGTGAACGATGGTTTCAGTGTTTCAAAATTGGAGATTTCGATGTTGCAGACAAGGAACACGGAAAACTGCCTAAAAAGTAGGAAGACGTGGAATTGCAAGTATTGCTGGATGAAGATGATTCACAAACATAAAAACAACTCGCAGAGCAATTGATCGTTAGTCAACAAGCTGTTTCCAATCGCCTACGAGAAATGGGAAAGATTCAGAAAGTCGGAAGATGGGTGCCACATTTGAACGAGAGACAGATGGAGAAGCGCAAAAACACATGTGAAATTTTGCTCGAACGATACAGAAAAAAGTAATTCTTGCATCGTATCATTACTGGGGATGAAAAGTGGATTTTTTTTGAGAATCCCAAGCGCAAAATATCATAGATAGACTCAGGCGCACCATCCATATCGACCGAATCGCTTTGGCAGGAAGACGATGTTCTGTGTTTGGTGGGACCAGAAAGGTGTGGTCTATTATGAGCTATTGCCTGGCGAAACGGTTAATACCAAACGCTATCAACAACAATTGATCGATTTGAACCGTTCGCTGCTTTAAAAACGATCAGAATACCAAAAGAGGCAACACAAGGTCATTTTTCTCTATGACAATACTTCATCACATACGGCAAAACCAGTTCGGGACACGTTGGAAGCACTCAGCTAGGAAGTTCTACCCCATGCGGCTTATTCACCAGACTTGGCTCCTTCCGATTACCATTTGTTTGCATCGATGGGTCACGCACTTGCTGAGTAGCTCTTTGGTTCATACGAAGATATGAAAAAATGGGTCGATGAATGGTTCGCGGCAAAAGGGGAAAATTTTTACTGGCGTGATATCCACAAATTGCCCGAAAGATGGGAAAAAAGTGTAACTAGCAATGGAGCTACTTTGAATAAATCTCTTTTTATTATTCTTCCGAATTTAACGTGTTTTTTTTTGGAAAAAATCGTCATTTCATACTTGTACACCTAGTATATACGAGGTTCGTGCATCCGATTCGCCAAAAATCCAAATTAAATTATTCTGTAACGGGGATGCAATCATCCTCGAAGTACTCTCCCCTTGACAGAATACACTTGGTCCAACGCTTCTCCTTTCCTTGAAAGCAGTGCTGCATGTCTTCCTTTATCAGTTCCTTTAGAAGCTTCGTTTTATCAACAGCCATAAAATATTTATCTCGCATGATATTTTTTATTTTAGGGAACAGGTAGAAGTCACAAGGTGTTATTAGATGAATAGGGAGGGTGATCTATGGTAGTGATATTGATTTAGCCAAAAATTTGCGCGTAATGAATGCGATGTGCGAAGGTGTATTGTCCTGATGCAAAATCCATGCATTCTTCGCACACAATTCGAGTATGTATACATTCACTTTAAGGCTTCAACATAGAATTTTGCATTAAGATTCACCTTCTGGAACATATTCATGATAAACAATTCCACGAATATTGAAAAAACTACAAGCATGATCTTGATTTTTGAATGATTCTTGCGCGTTTTTTTAGTACGAGGTGAATCACGGTGCTTTTACTTTTCTCTCTGCCTTTATATTTCAGGATTATACTCGTAAATCCAGGATTCGTCTCCAGTTATCACCTTTTTGAGAAAATTTGAATCTTGGGCATTTTCGATCTAGTCATTGCAACAATCAATATGTCTTTGTTTTTGCTCTTCAAAACTTTCAGAATAATTTTTGCACACAGTTTCCGCATGTTTAAATCTTCTTTTAAAATTGTCAGAACACTACGTTACTGTTCCAAATTTTTCTGCAATCATTTTAGTAATTCGATGGTCTGCCTTCACTAAAGTGTAAACACGTTGAATGTTCTCATCGACATGTGAAAAGGCGTCATCATCGATATTCTCCCTTCCCTTCTTGAACCACAGTTCACAGTTTATTTATACACAGTTCTACGCTTCATATCCATGACAGACTCACCATATCCAACATTTGAAGAATTTTCTGGCCGCATTTGCTAAGTTTGACGAGAAATTTGATGTTGGTTTTTTTGCTCGGTTAAAATGTCTCGCTCCATTCTGCCAACACGATCAAAAGTATTGGAAGTACAAATTAGTTCGATCCGTTTTTTGTGCATTTATTTCAAAACAGAATGAATGAAGATCAATTAAAGTACTCCATCGCTGCCTACTACTTTTTCCCATCTCTCAGGCAATTTTCGAATTCCATCTCGAAAAAATGACTTGTCTTTGGAGGCGATCCAATTTTGGAGCCAATTTTCTGCGAAAGAAGTGAACTGCTGCATCCTTCGGAACAACCAGTAATCAGAAGGAGCAATGTCCGAAGAATATGGCGGGTGCGGTAAAACATCCCATTTGAGCGTTTCCAAATATTTTTTTAGCAACATGAGGCCGAGTCTTGTCATGAAGAAGAATAACTTTATCATGTTTTTGCTCGTATTCTGGCTGTTTTTGACGCAATGCATGGCTCAAACGAATCAATTGTAGCTAATACCGATCGCCCATATGGAATCGCCAGGTTTCAGCAGCTCATAGTAAACAAGACCCTTTTGGTCCCACCAGATACAGAGCATGATCTTCGAACCATGAATGTTCGGTCATGGTGTTGATGTTGTCGATGACAACGATTGACCGGGCACAGCGTAGTATTTTTTCTTCTTGGGGTTGTCGTAGAATATCCACTTCTCATCTCCAGTCACAATCCGATGCAAAAAACCTTTTTTCTGTTGTCTTTGAATCAGCTGTTCGCAAGTGAAAAATCGCCTTTCAACGTCTCTCGGTTTCAGTTCATAAGGCACCTAATTTCCTTGTTTTTGAATCATTTTCAATGGCTCTCAATCAGAAACGACTTGTTGAATTATCCCCAATGATTCTGCAAGCTCCTCTTGCGTTTGACTCTGATCTTCTTCGAGTAATGCCTCTAATTCTTTGTCTTCGAATTTTTTTAGCTGTCCAGAGCGAGGCTTGTCTTCAACGCTGAAATCTCCATCCTTGAAATGTCGAAACCATTTTCTACATGATTTATCAGTTGGAGCAGTGTCACCATAAACTTCGATAAGCATTCGATAGGCTTCAGCCGCACTTTTTTCCAATTAAAGCAGAAAATGAAAATCCTTCCACAAATGCTGCTTGGTTAACACAAAATTCGACATTTCAAACACAGTAAAAATCAAGGTTTTTGTATGAAACTCAAAGCGATATAAACTGAATATTATTAGCAAATATTTAACCTTTCTGAAACCGCCAAAATCAGCTGTCACTGTGAACTATTCACAACAGCTGGAATCATCTTTCGGGAAACGGACCGAACTAATTTGTACTTACAATACATTAATAAAAACAGACACGAAAAGCAGAAATCTCATTCAACCGTGATCTAACTTTTACTAAGGCACCACTGTACAAGCTTACAGCGTCACTACGTCGACAGAATAAAATTCAGTGCATGAATTTTTTTGTACATACGTATATATATATATATATATATGTATATATATATATATTGGGTTGTCCGGAAAGTTCATGCCGATTTTGAAGAAAAATTGAAACGCAGAAGATTTAAATTTCAGTATATATTTATTAAATTATATAAGTGCCATTCTGTTCTACAACCTTTCTCCATCTTTCAGGCAACTTGAAAATTCCTTCCAGAATCTCTCAAGTTTTTCAGCGAAAAACTTTTCTAAGCAATTTTTTACCTCGACTAAAGAGTTGAAGCTTTTTCCATTAAGGGAATTTTGTAATGATCGAAATAGGAAATCAGAGAGCGCGAGGTCTGGTGAATATGGTAGACGGGTAGAACATCCCAACCGAGCTCCAAAACTTTTGTCGAGTTATCACAGACACATGAGGCCGCGTATTGTCCTGATGAAACGTCCCGATGATGCCCTTTCGATTCGCTATTTCTGGACGTTTTTGTTCAATTGCTATTTTCAATTCTAATTGGGAACAATATTTTCTCTGAATTTATCATCTCGTTGTTTGGTAAAAACTCATAATACAAGATCTCTTTCCAATTCCACCAGACACAGAGCATGACCTTCTTTGGATGAAAGGACCGGCTTTTGGAAAGGTGGTTCATTCTGCTTTCTCCGAGATCTTTTTCGCTCAACATTATTGTAAATGATCCATTTTTCATCCCCCTTCACTACTTGCTTCAAACATGATGTCTCCTCGTTGCGTTTATAGAGCGAGTCGCAAATGGAAATGCGATCCATCAGATTTTTCTCCTTCTCTTAAATCGTGGGGAACCCATATATCAAAACGATTTATGTAACCAAGTTTCACAAAATGCTCGTGGATGGTGGATTTTGATATATTCAACATTTCTGCTAATTTACGTGTCGTATAGCATGAGTTATTCTCGATCAATGTTTTAATCTGATCTTCATCTGTGATGGAGGGCCAACCCAGACGTTCTTGATCTCCAAGGTTGAAATCAGCTTTAAACCTAGCAAACCACTTCCGCACAGTTCTTTCAGTTACAGCATCTTCGCCAACAGCGCATATCTTGTTTGTTGCTTGTGTGGCATTTTTGCCTTTCCGGTAAAAGAAAAGCATTAAATGACTAAAATGCATTTTGTTTTCTTCCATATTCAAAGACATAAAATTGACAAAAATTAACGTATCACAACCAAATTTTTTTCCAAGTATGCCGAAGTACCGTCTTTTACGATATGTACGCATGTCATTTGTTTTCAATCGTTCTGATATATTCAGACCTGTCCTTATGCCACCTACCAAAAATCGGCACGAATTTTCTGGACAACCCAATAGATTCAATTGGATGTAATTGGATTGAAAAAGTGAATTTCCTATTCAAAATTTTGAATTGAACAATATTCATAATGTTTGTTATGTGCACAAAAAAAGCTAATTTTTTTAGATTGAAAGATATAGAGATATGCAATTCCTATAAATGAACATAAATGCATTCATTTTAATCAATATTTCTGAAAATCTGAATTCATTTCAATTCATTTCAATCCATTCTCGTTTTTTGGAAGTGTATGCCTTGCTGTGTCCGCGTACTCATAGTGCCAGATGTGGTGTGCGTTTAAATTCCCTACAATTAACACATATTTATATTTGTTAGTGAAGCGCGCTCAATAGCGTGTCCAATATATCCGGAGTAACGCTGTCGAATGTCTATAGATATTTATGATATAGTACTATGGGTATTAAGCTGCAGCTCAATCTCCTCGATTTCCCAGAAAAGAAAGTCTAATCCTTGATGGATGAGGTAAGGTCCAATGAGTCGAACATCCTTCCTTACGAGAACGGCAATTCCTCTGTTGCCTCTATCCACAATAAGATGTCTAAATTATATGTGAGATGCCGTGCTAAACATGGTGTTATGTTTAAGAAGCGTCTCTTGTAGACATATAATATCATATTTGAATAATACAGACTAGATTTGGGACAAGTTGCCGAGGAAATCTCACAATTTCACTATATGATAGATTCTTACTTGATTTCCTTGTAGTAGCCGTCTCTGTTGCGGCAAAGATAAAGAGGATGATTATTAGAAGGCACCAGAAGACCTCGAGTAATTATTCGAATTGAAAGGATTAATGAACTGCATTCCTGTGGAAAGAAAATTAGTTAAACTAATTGATAAATTGAGTAATGTCCAGTCCTCTGTTCCGATTCATTAAACCGAGCAGCAATTTTCCTATTAAATTAACAAAAGAATTAGGCAAATCAGGGAAGGGAGAGAAAATCCCTATCCTCGCCCTGTGTCGGCCACTTTGGGTAAGAATTTGCCGAAAGCATTCCATTCCCAAACTGCGATGTCGATCTACCATTAGGATACAACAGCTTTTCTTTATGCTTTCTCTCTTTGGTTGGTCACTGGGTGTCGCATCCCAGTGAGAATTAGCACTCAAGCATTGATAGATTGGAGAGGAAGGGGAGACGGTGAGCTCACTCTAGCTGCGTTCGGTAATGCAAATCTGAGGCGTCGAAGTGCTCTTATATTATATGGGTTGTTCAAAAAGTCATTGCGTTTTTTCCAATAGATGGCGTTGTCCACGTTTATTTGTATGCGAGCACGACATGAATGTCAAATGTTTACGCGCGTTTTGTTGTTGACATTCAACCTAAAAATAAAAAAAAAAGTTGACGCGATTCGGTCGAGTTTTGTGCTTGCAATTGTGATTCGAATATGGAGAATTTTGAAGAGCATATTCGCCATATTCTGTTTTATTATTTCAAAAAAGGAAAGAAAGCAACTGAAGCAAGGGAAAAGTTGCGTCGAGTTTACGGTAGAAATGTCGTCAAAAAACGCCAGTATCTAGTTCGCCCGATTCCGTGATGGTGATTTTTCAGTCAAAGACGCTCATCGCTCCGGTAGACTTTCCAAGATTAACGATGATGAAATGAAAGTATTGGTGCAAGCAAATAAGCAATAAGCATTCAACGGTTCGGGAGCTTGCTACCGCTCTAAAAGTGTCCGTTAAAAGTATTCATGGCCAATTTGAAATCGCTAGACTTCGTAAAGAAGCTCGATGTTTGGGTACCGCATGAGTTGAAAGAAATTCATCTGACGAATCGCATGAGTGTCTGCGATCAACTCATCAAACACGAAGAAAACGATCCGTTCTTAAAGCGTATGATCACGGGCGACGAAAAATGGATTATTTACAACAATGTCAGTCGAAAAAGAAGTTGGAAGTAGACGAAGTGAAGCACCGGAAAGGCAAGCAAAGGCGGAGATCCACCAAAAGAAGGTAATACTGTCAATGTGGTGGGATTGGAAGGGACCAGTCTTCTATGGGCTACTTCCAAAGAACAAAACAATTAATTCCGATGTCTACTGTGGGCAGCTGCAGAAATTAAGTGATGCCATCACACAGAAACGTCCCCGAGCTAATCAATCGTAAGGGTGTGGTGTTTCACCACGACAATGCGAGACCACACACAAGTTTGGTCACTCGGCAAAAATTGTTGCAACATGGTTGGGATGTGTTACCACATCCACCGTACAGCCCAAACCTTGCACCATCAGACTTCCATCTTTTTCACTCCTTGCAAAACTCCTTGAATAGTAAAACGTTTGCTTCTGAAGATCTCATCAAACAGCACCTAGACAAGTTTCTCGCAGAGAAGGATAAGAAGTTTTATGAACGTGATATTATGAAGTTGCCCAGGAGATGGCAGAAAGTCATCGAACAAAACGGCCAATATATCATTGATTAATGTTCATTATATATATATATTAAATAAACACACCTGAAAATCAAATGAGAAAAACGCAATGACTTTTTGAACAACCTAATAGCATATAGAATGTTCTTATATTACGTGCTATAGAAAAAGAGCACTCCGACGCCTCAGATTTACATTGCCGAACGCAGTTTATGAGCTTATTCATTTCCTATTCATTTCTTCACGCGGTTTTTGTTGTGGCAATCCACCTTCCTTGTGACCAAGGACGTCAGCATACAGATCATATGCGTATCCCGCATAATCATTCAAAATCGCATAACGATTGATACCTGAAAAATCGTTCATGCTGATACAAGAAGCGAACTCTGTACAATCAGCTTTGTGCTTCGCATTCTTTGGATTGAGCAAAGGGAAATTGCCATAATTAAAATGCGGGTCGCTCATAGGTTATTGGTTCTGTTATTGTTACTACTACAATATATTTTATTCTGTTCTTTTCATCTTTTAAAGAAATATTTTCTGTAGCTGTTAAATATAGGACCACTTTATGTTTCCTGAATTAGGAGATAATCATGGGACGTGACCAAGTATTCTCCCAGACAATTGATGCATCTCGGTGATTGGGATTTATGTGGACAATCTGCATCGTTCTCATGTACTCCATCTTTACAATTTTTTCCACAATAGAGGCAGTGAGCGTCACTCTTGCATTCTTGCCAATATGATCAACTCTGCAACAATTGTAACAATTCTGGGGATGTATATTGATACTTCATACCTAATCTTGAACAGCACTACTTGTTTAAGAAGTCGTTGTTCCTCGAATTTAATATACAAAGTGCACGATGGGACAAAACTATAAAAGGAAAGAGGTAGGATTTTATACTTTCGAATATTTGATTTGAATTGTGTTCTGCAATCCTATCTCGTGATGACACCGTAGAAAGTTAGATTGTCAGAAAAGGCGACTGCATAATCGAGGATAGTCAGAGTTTAGTGATTTTATGAAAGCAGTAGTCTTTGATTTTGGCTATTCAATAACAATGTGATTCTTTATTCAGAAATTTATCACTTACAGATATGATTTGAGAAATGGAGAGCAAGCCGTTCCAGCGCGAACGCAATATCGATGCGGCGATTAAATATCTTCCTGCTATAGAAAATCACGTGGTACAACTCTACCGAAATGTGTTACTCATTGCTCTACTACTCCAGATCTGATTTTGCTCCGTTGCTCCGATCCGCACGCTTGCTCTGAAGCGGCTTATTATACAATTACCGGCGCTGTCGCCCTACGATAGATGCATACGCAGGATCAATATTATATATTAATCTATCTGTAACTATGATGATCGTTCTCGCTTTCTGACGGATCGCACAATACTTACATAATCTTTCTTACATAATCTTACCGTTGACTCTGACATGTCTATTAAGTCTTGCCACTTCCTCTATTTTAATTGGAGATTCGATAAAAGATACAAGTATTTATTTCTTGCAGGATATTCTTAATGACACTCGTTCTTATTACTCTATGTTGAGGGATGAATGCTTTAAAGTTATGTTTTGTTAAAAGCGTGTTTTTAAGAGGTTATTGGCTGCTATATATGTACTTAGTTCTGCCAAGATTTTACCCTTGTCTAATTTTTTAATTTCGCGGATGTCATCGCTCGCTATTATGACCTTTCTCACTATCGTAGAATGTAGAGACATGGGGGCCGATATCGAGTTTTTATCTTTGGTGATATCGATCGTGTGTACAGAATGCGTCATTAGGATTCGGACAAATCGAATAATTTCTTTAAATAAAATATTTTTAATGAAAAATTAAATATTACAAAAAATCCTTTTACATGGCACTGGGGGATCTCTGTAGAGACACAATTATTCGATATGTTCCCTATTAGTTTGAATAACGGTCTCTATTCTCGGTCTGATGCATTCGCACGCTGTAATGTAGCGTTGCGTCGTCCATGCCGATGATGCTGCCTCAATAGTGGTTCTTAATTGAGATGCCGAAACTTGTTTGTAATCCTTTCAATTACGCTCCATACGTAATAATCCAAAGGATTTAAATCTGAGCTATTGAGAGGCCAGAATTCCTTGGACCAAAACATATCGACATTATTCGAGAGCCAATTTTGAATCAAATGATTTGTATGAGTGCACCATTCTGCTGAAAAACATATGGCCTTCTGGACGCCACAGTTTCCACGACTTCATTATACCCATCAGAACGCGCAACGATTGTCCTGAGTCATCCGAAATCAGCGCTTAAGTCCTTTCAATGACTGTGAGGGTCCTATGATGCATTCTTTCGAGTGACTCTTCGCTGGTATATTGGAACCTTCGTTGGATTGTTCTAAAGCCGTATGTTTACTAAAATGTCATAAACGATTGATCTCGAGTATCCAAAGAACTGAATTATTTCCGTTGCTGATCGCCCAGCGCGAAGGCCTTTGATGATCGCGACTCTTTGATTATACTCCGCACTTGGTTTCAATCACGGCCATTTTGAGAATATGTTTACTAGAAACATCAGGCTTTCTTGGATGTCAACAACAAGCTCTAGCGAAGGCACAATATAGCGAAAAATTTTAATTGAAATTTGTTCGGATTTTGACGACGCACCCTGTATATGCACAATGCATGGAAGAAGATCGCGAGAAGTGTACGTGTGATGTTTAGATATCGCCCGTTCTTCTATATAGCGTTTTTGACGGATTTGCGCTTCCGAATACATTATCTAGGGTCAACGTGATGCTACAAACTCTTTGAAGTATTTTTTAATTGATCAGTTTGTAAAATTCTTTCTTCTAATTGGTTCACCAAATGCTTCAAAGCATTTATAGCAAGACTTTGACA